GTGGGATCCACATCACCCCTGGGCAGGGGGCTTGGGTGCTGCTGGTCCCAGAGGGATGGGACAGTGGGATATTGGGAGGCACTGCACCCCCTGACCCTCTCTTCCCCCTCCAGCTGCAGAGTAGCCTCAGTGGCAGCAGCAGCCCCCAGGAGACACCTGGGGCCTCGCAGGGGACACCCCTGGGACCCCGTTCGATGCAGCCTTTTGGGAAGATCCCCACGGATCCGGTGCAGAAGCCTCCCCGAAGCACACGCCCCCCTCATCCCCCAGGAGCCGCCTCCGGAGCCCCGGGAGCCACCCGGCGAGGCCCCGGGGCCGGGGGCTCTGCAAAGTGCACGTGTATTTATTAGAGCTGCTGGGGGGTGGGGGGGTCTCCGGGGGGGTCTTTAACCCTTTAGTTTTGTTTTTGCACAGATTCTGGGAACTCTTAGAGCCGGCTCTGGCTGAGCGAGAGCGCTCGGGCTTCTTTCGCCTCTCGCTGCTTTTCCAGCCTTAACGCAGCCCGTGGCTCGGCGTGACCGTCCCCCCGCCCCGGGGATGAGCCTGCTGAAGGCCCCGGGGGTGCCAGCGGGTGGGGGGCAGCTTTTGAGGTGCTGCTGGGCTTGGTGCTAGGTGTGCTCCCCCTCGGCGGGGGCACCGAGTGCCTTTGGCCACTGCAGGGTGGGGCGGTGGCGTTCCCGTGGGATACCCTGTCTGGGGACACCGGAGTGCCGGGAGCAGCCGGGAGAGGGGCCGGCAGCAGGAGGGACGCTGCCATGAGCTCCTGCCCCACATCCCAGGTTCCCAAAACGCCCCCCGCAGCGCCCCCCTGAGCTGGGCTGCCCTGCCCCGACAGATCACTGTGTTCATGCCAGCAATAAACCCTCCGCAAGGTGCTGGGCACGGGGTTGGGCCACCACGGTGCCACCGCACAAGCCACCAGCTCCTGGGGACGGGGGGGGTGGCTCTAGGGCAGCACAGAGGGTTTCGGGGGGCAGCCAGGGTGCCCCAAAACCAGAGCACCCCAAAGCCAGAGCAAATAGCTCCCTGTCCCCGCTCGCTTTGGTGCCATCCCGGTGTCACCACCAGCCTCTTGGGTGCAGGGGGGACTGGTGCCAGCATGGCCGTGGGCAGAGATGGGCACTAGCCAGGGAACCTTTGTGCCTTGAGCAGGGGGCTCGGAGGGCAGGGGGGTGTTGCCACCTCCGGGCCCCCCAGATGTCCCCGTCCCCTGCGGTCCTGCTGGTGCTCCTGCTGGGGCCAGAGCGTCCCTCCCCTGCTGGGGGCAGGATTTGGCCTTTTCTCCCTTTGGGAAGCAGCTGGGCTGTCCCCGCGTGCTTTCCCAGTGACATCCCCCAGCCTCCGGGGCAGTGGGACCTGCCACCACCGCCGCGGCCTCGGAGCTGCCACCGCCCATCGCAGCCGTCCACCGAGCAGGGACCCGCTGATCCCGCGTCCCCAGCCAGCCCTGCTGCCACCCCCAGCCTGCTGGGGGGACCTGGAGGCTCCCCACGGGGGTCCCGCTGCCTCCCCATCCCACCCCGCGCTGGCTCCCCTCGGATGCAATACCAACCATCCCGTTCCTGCCGGACACGGGGAGCCCCAACACCCTCCCTGCTTTTTTTGGGGGGGGGTCTCGCCTGCACCCCCAACTACCTCAGGCCTCGGGGCCGGGGAGCGGCGCGGGGGCAGCGGGGGCGTGGGGACAGTGGCACCGCCCTCGGCCGAATCCACTGTCCCTTTTGTATCACGGGCGGGGGTCCCCGCGGTGTCCCCGGTGCTGGTGACAGGGGCAGGGGCTGCCCCCTCCGGTGCAGGGCGGGTTGGTTTGGTTTTTCATTGTATGATAACAATGACCCGTCGTGTGTTTGGGATTTTTCAATAAAGCCTTCAGCCCAGCCCTGCGACTCCTCCTGGGGGGCAGATGCTGCAGTGGGGGGGCCGTGCAGACCATCCTGCGCTGCTGCGGGGTCACCCCGGTAGGGCCATGGCAAGAGGGTCCTGCTGCTGGGTGGCCCATGGACAGGGATCTCGGGGGAATGTCCCTTCCTAAGCGTGCTTAGTCCACGCTGGGCACACTCAGTGTCCCCCAGCCCTGCCAGGGCCACCTGGACCTGGGGTGACACCATGGGGTGTCCCCACGGCGGTGTTCTGCATGATCCCTGCCACGGTCCCTTCCTGCCACTGTCCTTGCCATTATCCCTTCCTGCACAGTCTCTGCCATTGTCCCTGTCGCTGTCTCAGCCTGTCATGACTCGGTCACGATTCCTCTCAGCCCTGGTCCCTGCCGTGGTCCCTGCTCCTCAGGACCCGACCGGCTGGCAGCAGGACAGGATATCCCCTGGGACAGCCATGTCCCCTGGGGTCCCCCCTGGCACAGCCAGCCACTGCGACCCTCCCACAGTCCCCAGCGCCACGTGGGTGACTGTCCCCAGCCCTGCCCTCAGAGCGGGAGAGCACCGGGGGCTTCGGGGGGTCCCGGGGCCGGGCGGGGACACGTGGGAGGGGCTGGGGCGGGGCCGGGGAGGCCACGCCCACCACCAAAGCCCCTCTAACCGCGCCGCGCAGTGCATGCCGGGAGCCCGCGGGGGGCGGCCCCGCTCGGCCAGGAAGCCCCGCCCACCGCTACAAGCCACTCCCACCCTCTCTCATCTGGAAGCCTCTCCCGCCCGCCCTCCCAGCCCCGGATGCCGTGGAAGCTGCACGCCCGCGAAGCCCCTCCCACGGAGAGCGCCGAGAGGGTCGGCTCCGCTCGCACCGGAGAGCTCCGCCCAGCTCAATAAGCCCCGCCCACCCGGGAGCCCCGGTCCCGCTCACCCGCAGAGCCCCGCCCACCCCGTGAGCCCCGCCTAACTCAGAGACCCCGCCCATTTTCTAAGCCCCGCCCTCAGTTACGCCAGGAGGGCCGTCCCCGCTCAGCCCGGAACCCACGCCCACCCGCTAAGCCCCGCCTCCGTGTAGCCCGGCCCATCTCTGAGGCACCGCCTACCCTTTAAAAGCCCCGCCCCCGCGCTGTGCGCGCGCAGAGCACGCCGGGAGCGGCGGGCGCGCGGCGATGGCGGGCGCGGGGCCGGGCGGGCGGGACGGGGCCGTGAGGGCCGCGCTGGCCGTGGCCGCGGCGCTGGCGCTCGCCCTGGCCTGCGTGCTGCTGCGGGGCGCGCTGCTGGGCGCGGCGGCGCTGGGCGCGGCGGGCGCCTGGTGCGCCATGCGGCCCGGCCCGCCCGCGTCGCGCCCGCCCGCCAAAGCCGCCGCCAACGGCGGCCCGGCCGTGAGGGCCGCGCCGCGCCGAGCACAGCCCGGGTAAGGACGGGAGGGATGGGGGGAGCGGGCGGGGGGAGCCCCGCCACGCACTGACCGCGCTGTGTCCCGCAGGGCCTCACGCTGCCCGCCGCAGCCCCCGCGCCGCCGGTACCCGCTGCCGCAACCCCGCCCGGCCGCGCCGCTCGGCCTGACCACCGCCCGCTGGGAGGGCGGCTCGCCCCGCGCCGCACCCTGGGCCCGCCGGGCCGGCCCGCTCCGCAGCCCCGTCACCGTGAGGATCGCACCGCCCGCCGCCAGTATCACCCGCGCCCCGGCGTGAGTTCCGGGGGACTGGGATACACCGGGAGGATCAGAGGGGGATTCCGGGACACACCGGGGAATCACACAGGGGGATCGCGGGACACACCGAGGAATCACAGAGAGGACGGGGACACACCGCGAGGAGCCCGGTTATCAACCGCGGAGGGGACCGGGACACACTGGAGGGAATCACAGGGGGTACTGCAGGGACACACGAGGGGAAGCCCACTTATAACCACAGGAATACTGGACACATCGGGGGGAACCCCCTTATTAGCCACAGGGGATATCGAGACACACTGGGGGAAGCCCTGGGAGTACCATCCCATCCTGAGTGCTGCCACATGGCTGGGAGGATGGTGTGATCTAAACCTCCAGAAGAGCCGTGTTCCCCTTTCCGTGGGGGAATTCTGAGCAGTGATCCCAGCTAGCCTAACAGTGTGCTCTGCTCTGCTCCCCAGCCTGGAGCAGCTGGTCTCACCCCTGGCCTCCCCAGCCACCAGCAGCCCTGACCCGTGTGCCAAGGAGACTGTGCTGAATGCCATCAGGGAGAGCAGGAAAAGGGCTGTGGAAGAGGAGGAGGAGGAGGAGCAGACCTTTGGGAACGATCAGGAGAGCAAGAGAAGGTAACGAGGGAGCAGTTCAGGTCACTGGCGGTGTGTTGGGAAGGTCACAGATGGGGCTCTCGCTCCAGTGGTGACCAATGGGATGTGTCCCAGAGAGTGCCATGCGTGGTGTGACCAGGATCTGGGCTGGAAGAGCACTGTGGTAAGGGAACTGCAGGGAGGAAGCACACCCCATCCATCACCTGGCCCTTGGGGCTGTGTCAGACAGTCCTCTGAGGCTCCTGTTGTCCTTGAGATCAAAGGGATGTGGTTTAGGTGTGGGTCCAGTGTGTTCCTCTGCCTGGCTGGGGTTGGGAAGGGCTGGGATGTGGTTTGGGAAGCTTGACTGGGAAATGGTTTGTCTTCTCACAGGGATTTGCAGACTGGGAAGGCGTGGTGGGAAGTGCTGGTGTCTGCTGTGGGCTCTGTCCTTCAGTCAGCCCCGGGCTCCCAAGAGAGATGGGATCCCTGGCTGGAAGGAGCCCTCTTGGAAAGCTCCACACATTTCCCTCATGGGCTGAGTGAGCAAAGGGAGGTGAAATGTGAGGGTAAACAGGAGACCCTGCTGCTTCTGTTAGTCGAGGTCAGCGACTTCCAGCCCTGAGCCTCAGGGAAGGAGGGTGCAGTGTTTTTGCCAGCGCCCTGGGAAGGACCAGCAGTAAATCCTGACTGCAAGGTCTGCTGGAGTCCAACAGCCCAGGCACAGCACTGCCTCACTGCCCTGCACTCATGCAGTCATGGAATGGCCTGGGTTGGAAGGGACCTTAAAAACCATCTCATTCCACCCCCTGCCATGGGCAGGGACACCTTCCACTAGACCAGGTTGCTCCAACCTGGTGTTGGACACTTCCAGGGATCCAGGGGCAGCCACAGCTTCTCTGTGTAACCTGTGCCAGGGCGTCCCCACCCTCACAGGGAAGAATTTCTTCGGTATAGCCAACCTAAATGTCCCCTTTTTCAGTGTGAACTCATCACTCCTTGTCCTGTCACTACACTTCCTGCTGCAGAGTCCTTCTCCAGCTCTGTTGTAGGCCCCTTCAGATCCTGGAAGGCTACTGAGTTCTCCCTGGAACCTTCTCTTCTCCAGGCTGAGCAGCCCCAGCTTTCTCAGCCTGTCTCCATAGGGAAGTTGCTCCAGTCCCCCTACCAACTTTGTGGCCTTCTCTGGACTTGCTCCAACTTGCTTCATCCTTCCCAGTTGTGTCCATGGAGGCTGTTCCCTCTGTGCTGGGGCTGGTTTGGGCAGGGAGCTGGAACACTGCAGAGAGTGGCTTGGGCAGTGCCCAGGCACATTGTCCTGCTGCTGGAGGTGACCCAGAGAGCACGGCAGGGCAAGGCAGGGCACACCATCCTCCTCCAGCACTGAATTCCCATCTTTGGATGCTTGACTTGGTTTATCTGAGCCAAGCAGGACAACAACAGGATGGATGCACAGAGGGGATCAGCTCAGGGGTTTTCTTTATTCTGTTTTAATATGCCAATACACAACTCTGCCACAAAAGCCAATTTTGAAGGCATTCCTGTCTGGGAAGCACAAGGAATGCTCGTAGGCAGAAAATTCCAGGACCCTGGAGGGCAGAAAGGAGCTGTGTCAGCTGGAGAGCACGGGGTGGCCTGTGCTGTGGGGTAGGCGTGCTCAGAGCTTGAGGAGAGCTGTCCTACACCTCCAACTCTGCTTCACAGCAAGCTTTGCTTTGGGACTTCCACACTTCAGATCCTCATGGAATCATTGTGGGAAGGGGAATTCGGCTTCTGACTCAAACAGTCCAGGGCATTGGTTCGGCAGAAAGTTGGAGATGGGCGTTTCAAAGCTCGGGTCAGTTCAGAGAGATTCAGCAGCTCATTTCTGGAAGCATTTTGGCTTAGAATAATGGACTTGTGCAAAAGATTTTTGTTTTCTTATGCCCAAACTGCTGTGCCCAGCAGGATGTTGGCATTTGGGGTGAGAGTCAGTGAGGACAGGCCCGGGGCGAGAGAAAATCCGCAGGAGTCTGCAGATGTGGAAGAACTTTGTCCTGGGTATTGGGTCCCAGGAAAACAAGCAGGGTTTGAGCTCTCCCAGTGTTGAGCCTGCCTGGAAAGGGGCCTCTCCCCAGGCTGGGAGAGGCTTCCATACTGCCCCAGGCTTCCACCCTCTCTCCCACAGGCGCCACGACAGCAGTGGAAGTGGGCAATCAGCGTTTGAGCCGCTGGTAGCCAACGGTGCCCCCGCCTCTCTCATACCCAAGTAAGTGCCCACTGGGCCAAAAGCAATTTCTGGGATGGGGGGGTGGGGAGAGCAAAAATCTGTGGGATCTGGAAAAGGAGCTTGGATTTTGCTTGCAGAACCTGGCTTTGGGGGAGAGCAGGAGAGGCTGTCGGTCTGTCACCCTGTGACAGCAGGGCTGTGCTGCTGCTGAGGGTTATTCCCAAGCCTGTAAGGACTGGGATTGCCTTCCTCCACCTGCCTGGCATGGAAAGGACTTTTGGGCAGAGCAGGGGAGCTCACCGAGCCTTCACACCCCTCCTGCAGGCCGGGCTCTCTGAAGAGGGGCCTTGTCTCTCACTGCCCCGACGACTGCTCCAACAAGAGGTCCCGCACGTCCTCCATGAGCTCCCTCAACAACACGTACTCCGGGGGCATCCCCAGCTCCATCCGCAACGCCATCACCAGCTCCTACAGCTCCAGCCGGGGCCTGGCACAGGTACGGACACCTGGGCTGCACATTCCTCTGGGATCACCCGTGGAATCCCAGTGCTGGGCTCATCAAGAGCAGCGTGGCTGACTGCCTGGATCTGGTGTGGCTCAGCTCACGTCCCCGAGGGTCAGGTGGGCTGTGGGTCCAGCAGCAATGTTCCCTGTTTTCTGGGGAGTCCCAGGCTGAGCTGCCCTGCTGCTTTTGCACCAAACCAAGGATGAGGCTGTTTTGCTCTCCCTCCTCATCCCTGGCCAGTCTGCAAGGCTGGATAGATGCAGGTGAAAGTTAAAAAAAAAAAAGGCTTTGCTGCGCTGACACCTTTTGAGCTGGAGTCAGCAGTGTGGGAGCCATGTGTTCCCTCTCTGACCCAGGTCCCAGCTGCTCACTGATGCAGCACTGCTTGTATCCTGCTTGGGCTTGCAGATGTGCCAGGGACACTTAGCCATGGCCACTGGAGCTCTGTCTGTGTGGGGAAAGCTTTGCTCCAAGAAGTGGTAGGGAGAGGTTTGCTGGGGCTGGGGAGAGTCAGATCCTTGCATTGGGATCCTGCTCTGAACTCCTGGCAAGGAGGTGCTGGCTCCTGTCAGAGCAGCCCAAGGGTGCCCTGACACACATGAGGGTGCCCAAGGCAGCTGAGTAGCCCCTGTCTGTGTCACACAAAGGCAAGAGCTAGCCCAGCAGTGTCCTAGCCCTGGATGCTGCTTTTTCCCTGTGTGGGTTCAGCTTGGGGTGGCCAGACATTGAGCTCCCCAAAATGTGAAGGGGAGTTAGGTGGTGGTGAAGCAGGAGGGGCTCTGGACTCGTTGGGCTCATTATCCACAGTCCCGGGTGATGGGGTTGAGTGGGGATGAGCAGGGGGGAGAGGGCTCTGCTCCCTGCCAGCCCCACAGCGAGTTATTGCTGGTGTCTCTTTATTCCAGCTGTGGAAGAGAAGGGGTGTGAGCGTGTCCCCACTGTCCAGCCCAGCGTCCTCCCGTCCCCAGACCCCAGAGTGGCCTCTGAAGAAAGCCAGGTAACCAGCCTCTCACAGAGCCAGCTGGGAACGGAGCTGTCGCCTCCCCAGCCAACCCATTGCCCAAGTCCCACTTTCCACTGGAGTTGGGACAGTCCAGACTCCTCTCCAAGACGTGATGGTGGGTCACTCACTGGTGTGGAGACCCCCTTGTCGTGTCAATTGGCCCCCCTGTCACCTTGTGGCACTGCAGTGCCACCCCTGCCCTGCTCCCAGGCCAGGTCGGAGATATAAGGGCTCAAGTTGCTGCAGAGGTGATGGTGCCTTATGGCAGTGGCATGGCCTGGGTTGGTGGTTGCTGGAACACTGGGAAAAGACAGGTCCTGATTTTTGCCATCTCCTCAAAATCAAATCCCAGGGCTGTATCGTAGTGCCTGCCTTCGAGCACAGCCCATGTTCTCCTCTCTCCCAAATCAGAGGAACCTGAGGTTGTGTCAGAACTAAAGTCAACACGATCACCTGGTTGACACAATCACCTGGTGACAGGCTGAGTCTAACTTGTGAGGGGCAGTGCTCCTATCCAGGACCCCCAGCTGCCCCCCAGGGCTGACCCATCCTGAGGAGGGGGTGCAGGCCCAGCCAAGCTGGGGCTGGAGCAGGAAGCAGCTCCTCTGCCTGGAGCTGCACAAGGTTCTTGTCCCGAGGTCTGTTTGCAGGCGGCAAAGAAACACCAGGGGTGCTGGTGGGAATCCTCAGCGTGTTCAGTCTCGTCCTGTTCCCTGGGATGGGGCTGAGCCCAGGATTGATCCTAACTGGCTGTCTCCTGTTTGCACAGGGAAGAGGAGTCACATCGTTCCAACACTTCCACCCCAGTGAAGTCAGACAAGGAGCTGCAGACAGAGAAGGGTGAGTGTAGGTGGGCCCTGGCTCTGCACCTGGGTTGAATGGGCCACCAGGGTGAGCAAAATCGGAACAGGAGGTAGCTGAGGTAGCTAAGGCCTGCAGTGAGATTGGCTTGAGAGGTCATCTGGAAACTCAGAATGTGCTGCTCCCAAAGCAGTGCTACTTCAGCTGGCCTCAGGGACTGCCCTAGTGGGATTTCCAGGTGATTAGGGGGGTGCTGACAGTGTTGGGGTACTAGCAGATGCCTGGGAACTGGCTTGCAAGGGGGAACTCCAGCTCCCAACCCAGCACGGGTTCAGGTGTCAGCCTTGGCCAAGACCTGCTGTGGTGAGTGGAGCTCTGATCAAATTCCAGGCTGAGCTTATTCCAATGCTTCCTCAGCTAAAACGGAGAGGCAGCCCTCTGTGCCTGTGGCAGGTGGGCCCCATGGTACAGTGCAGGGACCATCCCTGGAGTTGGGAAGGGGTTGCTGACCCACAGAGCCCCAGCAGGCTCTTGCCCCAGTCTCCCTGCTCTTCCAGCTGCTCTTCCAGGGCATCAGAGCAGCTGAAAGCCTTGCCCCTGGCTCTGCCCTCCAAACTGGGCCATCCAGAGAGGGGTTGGGACAGCCCCATCAGTACAACCAAGCACCTGCCCGGAGCTGGGCCTGACCTATCTCCTTCTGCAGTGGCGGAGTCGCCGGTGTGGAAGAAGCAGAATTCCCTGAGCCCGCCGTCGGCGCCGGGGAGCAGCGGGAAGCGCAAGCGGAAGATCCCGTTGCTGTCGTCGCTCCGTGGGGACCAGCTGGTGCTGGTACGTCACTGTCTCGCAGCCCCTCTGGCCCCGCTCTGGCAATAGAATGTGCTCACTGCAATTTCTGCAGGGCTGGGGGGACACTGACCTGCCTGCCCTCAGGAAGGAGGCCCCGTCCTTGGCCGAGTGGGAAGTGACGCTGTCCCCAGCCCCAGTGTCTGGTGGGCTGTGCGTGGTTGTGCTGCCTGCTGCCGGACCAGGTAATGCCTGGGGAAGGCCTGCCGTGCCCTCAGTGCCACGCCGGGGGTCCAGCAGAGTCGGGGACCGGAGCTCCGCGGTAGCTGCGGCAGGACCAGCTGCTTCACGGGGCTCGCCACGGCCAGTCGCCAGCACACCTTCCGAGAGGCTCTGCTTCCCTGGGAAGGAGCTAAGCTGCTGCTGCTCTCTCTTGGCAGCCCCCGCCGCCTCAGCTGGGCTACTCCATCACCTCGGAGGACCTGGATGCGGAGAAGAAGGCAATGCTGCAGTGGTTCAACAGTGTCTTGGAGGATAAGGCTGGTAAGGGCGGGCTGGGAACATGAAGGGTGGCAGGAGCAAGCCCAGGTGTGGGCTGGTAGAGCAGTGGGCTGTCTGTAGCACAGTCTGGGGAAGCACCTGGGTTTGTCCTGCCTCAGTCTGAGGCTGCTCTTTTTGCCTTCAGAGTGAGGAGATCTCATGCCCCAGTGTCCCCAGGGTGCTGTGTGAGGTTCCCCAGGGATGTGGGGTGTTGGTGTCATTTCCCTGCCTGCTGGAGAAGCTCTGCTAAGGGTCTGTCCCCCACAGCCGGTTGTGGATCCTGATTCCTTGCTCCTTCCCTGTAGATGCAGTCCCCAGCACCACTGCAGAGATGACGCCCGTGTCCAAGCCTCTGGTGTTCACCGTGACCTCCTCAGGGCCTGCACCTGCCTCCACAGCTCCTACATTGGCCAGCTCCTCACTCCTGGACAGCCTGAAGAAGATGCAGAGCAGCCAGGCTGCGCCCACAGCACCAGGTGAGGGGGAGGAGGAGGGTCAGCAGAATGGGACCCCGGCAGAGCCGGGCAGTCACAGCGGGAGCTCCACGTTTCCTCTGTGAGGCAGGTGACAAACCCTCCTGCTCAAATGCTCCTCTGGCAGCAGAGCTGGCAGGTAGGTCTCAAAAGGGGCGCATTTGGGGACACCAAGCCCCTGGTCCTGCTGGGGGCTGTGGTAAGTGTGGAGGACTGGGTGTGGTGGGGGCTGTTCCAGGAGGCTTTGCACCAGCAGGTGGGTGCCTGGCAGAAGGGCAGGCTGTCTGTAGGTGCCCCTCTATCCCTAAATAAACTCTCTCCCCCTTTCCAGACACCACTGGAGCTGCAGCAGCATCCCAACCACCTCCATCAGCTGCCCAGCCACCCGCCCCCACAGTGTCGCTGGAGTCGAGCTCTCTGCCTGACACCTCTGCTGACATCAAGCCTGTGCCCGTGCTGAGCACACCTGCCCCCCCTGCCCTGGGGGTGCAGCCCCCAAACAGCCTGGCACCTTCTGCGTTCACTGAGCTGGGCCAGACCCCCAGCAAATCTCCCTCTCTCCCGAAGCCAAGCATCCTGTTTGGAATGCTGAATACCCCTCCTGCCAGCCAGCCAGCGGCGACTGTGGCCTCTGCTGTGCCCACCACGGCCACTGCCATGCCCATTACAGCCACTGCTGCGCCCACCCCGACCACTGCTGTGCCCACTGCAGCCACTGCCATGCCCACCACGGCCACTGCCATGCCCACCCCCATGTTCAAACCCATCTTCGGTGCTGTGCCGAAGAGTGAGAGCACGGCAACCTGCACGGCTGTCACCTCCACCACAGCCACCATGTCTGCGAGCTCGGGCCCTTCCTCGACATCCTCCACCACCACCACCATGTTCAAGCCCATCTTCGGCAGCGTCACCGCGGCTTCGTCTCCAGCGAAAGTCTCTCCTTTCGCCTTCAAACCGACGGCACAACCAGCCCCAGAGCGGCCCGGAGCCTCCTCGCCTACCCCGGTGTTCACGGGCCTTCCCAACATCATTTTCACCACTGCAGCTACAACAGCCACCACCCAGAGCTCCTCCACGGATGCCACCATTAAACCTGTCTTCAGCTTCGGACTGACCCCTCCCGCCTCCACGGGCCCCGCCGCCAGCTCGGCTGTCACCGTCACCGCTGCCACCTCCACCAGTGCGGCACAGCCCTTCCTGTTCGGGGCCCCGGCCAGCTCCGCTCCCAGCACAGAAACCAACTTTGCCACCCCAGGGCCCGTGTTCCAGTTTGGGAAGCCACCTCTGGCCACGGTCACTGCCACCACCACTGCCCCAGCAGGCCCTGCCTTTGGCCAGGCACCTTCAAGTTCCACAGCTGCTGCCACCACCACTGCGGGCTTTAGCATATTTGGGGGCACCACACTGACCTCCTCTGCCCCAGCCACCACAGCTCAAGCGCCGCTGACATTCGGCTCCTCCGTTTCAGCTTTTGGCAGCTCCTTCAGCGCCGGTGCAAAGCCACCACCGCCGTACCCCAGCACTGGGAGCGCCTTCAGCGCCGGGGCTGCCGACAGCCAAGCGTCTGCCAGCAAACCCGCTGCTGGCCCCGTCAGCTTCGCCCCCCCGTTCAGTTTCGGAGCCCCCCTGGCACAGTCGGCGGCTCAGCCGGCGTTCGGCAGCGGCGCCCAGACAGCCTTTGGCACGACCAGCGCCCCGGGCTCCTTCGGCACCAGCAGCACCCAGGCAGCGTTCGGCGGCACCACCACCTC